TAGAAGATTGAAGATTGAAGATAGAAGATAGAAGATAGAAGATTGAAGATCGAAGATCGAAGATCGAAGATAGAATACCTGGTAGCAGGCGGCATAGTAAAACAAAACAGGTTTTCACTTCACATGCTGTCATGGTTGTGATGCTGCCTGCCTTGCATTGCAAAGCTTGCAGGTGACACATTGTTGAGCATTTGTCGAGCGTTGAGTAGAGTGAAATGCTCAAACACTTTTGACTTCAGACTCAAATTCTTTCAGTGTAATGCTCAAATGCTTTTCAAGCATCATGCATCAGGTGACTGAAAAAATTATATATATATATATATATATATATATATATAATTTTTTTTTCGTGGTCTTCTCATTCTTTTTTCGTGGTCTTCTCATTCCAAGTTTGTCCATCCATCAGTGGATGGATCACGGATCATGTTTCAGAAAATGCATCACCGCTTTATACTCGTTGTTGCGGTGGGTGCTGGAACCTATCCCAGCTGTCTTCAAGCAGGAGGCGGTTGCCTACCCTGAACGGTTGCCAGCCTCTTGCAGATTCCAAGTTTGTTTCATGTACAATTCACTGACCTCGACCACTGGGAGAAACATTTTTAAAACGTTCGTGTGCGGTCGGGTCAGTTGCGGGAGGTTCGGCGCTTGAAAAGTAGATCTTTGGTCAAAGTTTGGCCACCCCTGGTATACACTAAATCTCCATAATTGAGTACTACTCAGGTCCGTTTCTGGGGGTGTTTTCAACAGTAATCTCCGAACATGTATTTGAACAACAAATCTGTGATTCACTTTGCAGGGTCTTGAAGCTAACTCCTGAAAATAATAACACGTGCCTGAAAATCGTTTTTGAGTAGCTTGCAATGTTTCACAATATCAAATCAGTGTAAATGTAATGTGTTTCAGGACAGCGATTCATCAGGGGATAGAGACGCACCCAGACAGGGTCATAGTCTGGATATTGTGGCCAATAGCTCATGTGAGTGTTCTTTGTGAATCCAACTTGCTGGACGTTGTTAACAAGTAAATTTTGAATGATGGTTCAGGCGCAGTGTGAGTATGATCTTGACTGGCCTCCACTTACACTGTAGCCATGGAAGCGCTGCTGGCTCTGGCACAGCGTCACTTTCCTACTGCCAGCCTTGTGATGGAGTCCTTGCGTGAGGCAGTGATCAATATACCCCAGGAGGCCTCCATGAACAACCGCCTAGCTGATTTCCTTTCTGAACTGGATCAGAATCTGGGCCAAGTTGGAATTATCACCTATGGATTGTCTGACACTAAATTAGAGGATGTAAGCAAATCTTTGCCCTTTTGAAAACACATTTGCAGGCTATCATAGAGATTTGAAACCCAACAGCTGTTACGATCACACGTATTCAAAATAATCAAAGAAAAAGTTCCATCCATACATTTCTGACATAGAGTTGAATTTTTTTTCATCTACATTTATTTCAACACAATCAGCTTCAAAAGTTGAATTTTTTACCAAATTCAAATACGATTTAAACATGTGAAAATGTGTCATGTCTTGTCCAGATCTTTCTACGAGTTGTGGAGGAAACTGAGTATCAGTTGGAATCAGAGCTGCATGCTGATCCTCCTCAGCAATCAACAGAGCAGAATGATGGTGAGAGATGGATAGGGGCACATGTGTTTGTGTGTGTGTGTGTGTGTGTGTGTGTGTGTGTGTGTGTGTGTGTGTGTGTGTGTGTGTGCGTGCGTACGCAGTCAATGTCATGTTTGGTTATATTTACCAAAACAAGTCATTCCACCCTGATGACAAACTTGAAGTTGCCTTATTCATGTACTTACGAGTGCAGTTATGGTATCGGCCAGGGGTCTTTTCTTTTTTTGGACAATATTTCTATCGCTTAAGAAAATATTCTTTCACAAGGCACAGATGAAGCTGGGGTGCAGAGAAATGCAAGTGCCAGTTTATATAAATTTGGGTAGGTATGGCCCAGTTTCATGGCTCTCCTTGCTCTCATGCAAAGCTCAAAAATACCTCAACATAGACGAAGTGTTATTGTTGTATAAGTTCCCTTGCACACAACAGACAACTTCACCTGTGAAATAACAATAGTTAGACACAAGAACAAGCGAAAAACTGCATTGTCACATTTATATTAATGCAGTTTTTCTTCCTTACCTTATTGGAAGCAATCAAATCAAAATGTTCCCATACAGGGGAGGATCAGCTTTTTCGCACAGGATCCATCACAAGCAACGGACAAGGCTCAACAAAAGATTGCACTAGTTGCACTGTTGCACACAGGTGTAACAAGTACAGGAGCCCGAAATCCACAAAATGTCAGATAACAGGCGATCGCCATTGCATTTTGCAACCTAATTATACCGTAGTCCGTACTCTGTTTGCAATGCGCGCCAAACGTCGGACCACTCACAAAGTGTTCATGTGATTCAGCCGGCCGGCGAGGCTTCACACGTCATCATTTCCGGGTCTTGCCGAAATGACGCACGCCTCGATACAACTTCGTGGAAACTCCCCTCCCATTACTCGACACAAGCTTCGGAGCCTCGGCCCATTTCGTCCCATCACTAGCTTACGTGAATTGGGTTCTTTCGTTTTATTTGACTCTGATTAACTTCTTCCTTGCCTTTTGTGCAAGCGCTTTTGTTTGTCGTTTTGTTTTTTTTCTTTTCCTGGTTCTTGTTTGACCAGCGCTTTATGTTTCTACTTTGTCGGTGCGTTTTTTTTTTTTTTTTGTATTAAACATTTTTGTTGTTAGTTTTTGCCTGGAGTCTACTATATTGAGGATCCCAAACTTTCTTGGTTTTGTTTGAAGTGTGACAGTCGCAGCCTATGACGCAAATCCTCGTTGCCGAAATGTTGACATTTAATATTTATCTTGTGCAGAGCGTGCCTGTTAAGTGATGTATCGTTGCGCGAAAGTGTAACGACAATAAAGCAATTCAATTCAATTAAATTCAATATTCCACACATTTTTACAGCATTGGAAAACGTTAATGTATGTGTCATGTTTGTCCACTTAGAGAAACTATATTAAAACAAAAAAACAATCTTTTTCTATGTTCAAACATTTTTGAAAAATCTCCAGGGAGCCACTCAGGGGCGCTAAAGAGCCATGCGGCTCTTGAGCCGCGATTTTGCCGACCATGGGGGTCGGCAAGTCATAGGCCTTGGGTTCTGACACTTAAAACGCCTATTTTCTTTTCATCTTTGCTGGTCAGAATCTGATTTATTGTCCAAGAAATCAATAACCAACATGGGGGAGACACAACGGGAAGCGTGGTGGGTCGCTGTTAAGTGCCCTGATATCCTCGATGTGAAAGGAAAACAGTTGGGAAGAGGAGCCGGGGAAAAAAACAATAGACTCCAACCATTCTTCTTGAATGGAAGAGCCAGAGAAAAAAAAACACAGCACGTAGCGTACATTTGAAAATACGTTGAACAATTCTCGAGACTTAACATGGAATGAACAGGATTGGGGACGAGTTCTAGACATTAGGTGCACTCAAGTCTCTCCAGTTGTGACGGGGGAGGGAGTGGAGTGAATAAGGATCCAGCAAAGACTTTTGACATTGCACCTGCAGCTGCAAGGCCAAAACCTGATCGGTCACAGGCTCAGGGAGGAGTTATGGAGAGAAGGAGATAGGAAGACACGCACCCGTGTGTTTTTTTTTTTTTTTTCCATCCCGGGGAAAGTCCAGATAATTGTTTTGAGAACATGCCGTCAACAATTTCAGACAGCCTTGAATGTCTTTTAGCATGTGACTCTGAGCGACATCAATTTGCTGACTACTTAATCAATCAGGCAATCAATTTTCATTGGTGTAAATGTTTGCAAAACACTTAATTACAACACACGTTACATTCACTCAAAAAAATCATTTGAATTGTAAGAATTTTCAAGTATCTCCGATGGGCTTCACTTTGCCCAGTGGTGCTGTGAGTCATGAATTCATCCATGAGGTTTGGTGCAGTTCGGGGAAAATAAATAAGCATCAAACTACCGAGTGGTAAGTGTGTCAACCTAACAGTGTGGGGGTCGTGGGTTTGATTCCAGGTCCTGTGTGGAGTTTGCATGTTCTCCCCGTGCCTGAGTGGGTTCTCTCCGTGTACCCCCGGTTTCCTCCCACACTCCCAAAACATGCATGGCAGGCTGATTGAACACTCTAAATTGTCCCTAGGTGTGAGTGTGAGGGCGGATTATTGTTCGTTAATGTGTGCCCTTGCGATTGGGTAGCAACCAGTTCAGGGTGTTCCCTGCCTACTAGATGACTGGAAAATTTCTATCTATCTATCTATCGTGTGTGTGTGTTTGTTTATATATATATATATATATATATATATATATATATATATCCACCCACACTGTATATAGAACAATGTGCTGAAAAAGCTGCTGCAATGTGCTGTCACAGAATTTCAGGAGAAACATCTGCTGAGTGGATTTGGCCAAAGAGGCACCCTGACTGGATGGAGCATGACCTGCCAGCATCTGAGAGCTCTCTTTATCAAACGATGGCTGTATGCTCGCAGAAATACTCAAAGCTTCTTTGCTCAGGTGATGACACACTGCAAGGAAAAACAAGTGTCAGTATTAAGGACCTGGCACTCAGAAATGTAAAAAAATGTGCTCTTCCGCTATCTTGCCTTTTTTCAGAAGTCATGTTTTTATTCATATCATTTTCAATTATAGAGCAGGGCTCCAGCTCTCGACACTCATATGCAGTATTGTTGATGTCACATGCCACCCCAACAGGCCACACCTGAAAGGCACAGGCATACACACATTACAATACACACAGTGTTTCACATTTCATGCTAGCAATTTTGTTTTGATCAAATACATTGGCAAATCCATTGAAGAAGTGATTTAATACAAGGACAGAAGTGATTTAATACAAGGACAGAGGTTACACCAGTAAAATATATTTTAATATGATCTCTATTGCAGGTGAGTCTGGGACCGATCCCTTGCGATAAAAGGCTCTTAACTGTAATCTGTTTGTGTGCAACAGATTGTGCTTCCTGCTGGGCTTTTGCTGGGCTTTTTGGCAATCTCGGACCGAAAAAAACCCCCTACTGACCAAGTGGGACAGTACGCTTGAATATTCATTCACTTTGTTCTGTACTTGCTTGCTTACTTTAATTTCAGAATTTTTTTGTTTTTGGGGTTATCTTGTTGGATTAAATGACCGTGTGGAAAAATACATTAATACAGTATCACACGTCCCATGTTATTTTAAGGGTGATGTTTACCGTTGATGAGGAGAGATCATCACTGTCAGTGCTATTTCTACCCAATTTGATTCACATGAATGTGCACTTTATAAAAATTAATTGATGGCATAAATTGTTGATATGATAATTTGGTAATTACTCTTTTTTTTTTTTTAGGTTGTTAAGTGCAGGCATTACAATTCCTTTTATTTTGATGGTGGCTATTTCCTGTGTACCTTCCTGCTCCGTGCTTTTCCTGATTGAAGAAAGAGCCAGTAAAGCAACACACCTCCAGTTTGTCAGTGGGCTCCAGCCATTCCTCTACTGGTTGACAAACATTTGCTGGGACATGGTCAGTCCAGACACAAGCAGTATACTAACTAGACAAATGTATTATATACCTCATCTCTTGGAGCAAAAGAGATGGCTGCACTTCATCGTTTGAGTGGGTGTGTCATGTTGCATGATGATAGAGGACCCAAAAAGGAAGGCAGGATTCGCAGTACACAGTAGAGGTTGTGATAGAAATCTATTAATGTTCCTCTAGTTTTTCACAGATTTAAAATGCATTCTTTTGAATAGTTTTGTTTTACCTGTATCTGCTTCCACAGCCTTTGCGTGTGAATATTTGTTATTTGAAGGAAAATCACTTCTCAAAGTCGATGATTTTCTTTCTCATTTATGAAAATAAGCAAACGTTTCTCCACTTCCTCTCATATTTGTGATCCTTTAGCCAGATCAGTGACTTTACGATGGTCTTTCTTTTTTTAGGATGCTGCTGATTGTCGATTTCAGCATGCCAAATTCCCCAGCCAACACAGACACATGTGCACTGTTTCATATTTCGCTATCAAATCTTTCTTAAATTCAATAGTTTTGCGCACTATGTTCCTCTTTTTTTCCACCAGCTTTACTACTTCCACTTGCTTTCTTTGGTGCCATGATTAGGAGCTGATACACAATGCAGAAATAACAGTCCGATTTGGGTAGATGTCAACCAAACACGATACTTTAAAAAAAAATCTTTATTGAACACGTGCGCTCACACTTGACGCTCTTTTTTTTTTTATCTTTATTGAACACGTCTGCTCACAATGGAACGCTACATGAGGAAGCGTCACTTCCTCGTCTACCCGAGGAAGTGTGACTTCCTCGTGTAAGGAAGGCGAGAGTAGTCGAGTGGCGCATTCAAGTGCGCTCAGTTTGGTTGAGAACCGATTTTCGGTCGTAATCTGAGGCATGAAAAACTCAATTTTTGAGCAAAAAACGATTTGGTCGAGAACAGACATGTTCGAAAACCGAGGTTTGACTGTACATCAATACAGTATTAACAATTCGTTCTACGTTTGTACTTTTGACAGCAGTCAGGCTATTTCCTTTGTCGCTTCGGGTCCGAATACCTTACAAAGGCTTTGAAGGCGGGAAGTATAAAGTGCTCTGCCGCTGGGACTTTTTTTGATTTAGCAAGACTCTTTGGTTTACCTTTGCGGTTGTTCTCATCCACGTTGCTTGTTTCTCCGTATATTCACGCAGGCGAACAAAATTCTCCACATTTTTGTTTAGAAGTGAAGGGTGTTTTGTTTGGAGATAGAGTTTAAGCTTACTTGCGAGCATAGCGCTGTTGTCACCACATTCCAAGCACGACAGTGTCGGTGCTCCGCTACAAGTAAATCCAAATGAACGATAGCTTGCGCCTCGCGCCAGAAACTTCGCTGGTCTCGAAGTACAAGGTCATAAGCTCGCTGCTGCTGCTACCCACCAGTATGGAAGAGTACTTCATGATTACTCTGCCAGGCGATAGACCGCACAGGCATACACATTGGATCATTTCCCACAGCACACCTGAAAATATCTCGTGGTACACTGGTGTGCGGATTTGAAAAACACTGTCGTAGTAACAGCATGGAACAGGTGGAGGAGAAACTAGAGCTGTGGAGGTTTGCCCTGGATAGGAGAGGAATGAAGGTTCATTGCAGCAAGCCGGAGTACATGTGTGTGAATGAGAGTGACCCAAGTACAAGAGTGAGGTTACAGGGAGAACAGAAAAAAAAGGTTGAGGATTTTAAGTCAACTGCTGGACAATTCAATGTGAACGCAAACCATTATCAAGACCCGAGGATTAATCTTCTTTTTGCTTCTATTTTGCCATTTGCCATTGCTTCAGCTGAACTATGCCGTCACAGCCTTTCTCATGGTGCTCATCATTATTGCTTTCAAGATAGAAGGATACACCTCTGACAGCATACTGCGGGCTCTTATCCTCCTCCTCCTCTTTTATGGGTATGCTGAGGCAGTTTACGCTTTTCATTTAGATGTACCTTGTCGTAGTACAGAGTGTTTTGTCCCACTTTGCTAACAGCATGACAATTGTCTAAAAAAACGGTGTACCTGTATAAATGTTGTGTATTGCAAATTTCATCCATCACTTTAGATGGTCCGTCATCCCCATGATGTACCCAGCAACCTTTGTTTTCTCCGATTCCACCACGGCCTACATTGTTTTTTCCTGTGTCAACCTCTTCAGTGGAATTATTTGCAGTGCAGCAACATATTTTCAGATAATGTCTCAAGTTGAGGTAAGATCAACAGTCACTTTTTCACATTTTGATTTCCATTCATCTTTTATTCAGCTCTGAACTGAACCTGTGTATGGCACTTCACATATTAGTAGTATGTCATGGAACTTACATTTCCAGTTCAAAAATATGGCCTGCATTTGAATTACTGGATGTTTGTCGTTCCAGGCCCCACCGAGTTGGACCTGGCATATGTTATTCATTTTACCTCATTACTCCTTGGGAAAAGGACTCGTGGACATACAAATCCAACCGCAAATAAGTATGCTCATCTTTCACACTCCAAGCCCAATGAGCCGTGAACAATTGCGAGTGTTTCTGAAGACAGCAAACGTTGCGTTGACGCCAGAGTTCTTAGGGGTTCGTTCAAGTTCGCAAATGTTAGCCCAACCATTCTTAACCAGGCGGTCGCCTGTACTTTTATTGTTGCAAGGAAATTTTGCGATCTTGTCTATGAAAATACAGGGTTTATTGCTTGGCAACCCATGACAACCGGTCGCAAACACAGACATGAAACATATGCAGTGCTGTGGAAAAAATATATTTGCCCCCTTCCTGATTACTATGTTCTTTGCATATTTATCGCACACAAGTATTTTAGTTCAGCAAACCAATGTTAATACCACACAGAGACAGCCCAAGGAAATACAAACTGCAGTCTTCAAATTACAATTCAATTTATTAAGGCACAAAAATAAATAAATGAAGACACTTTCTGACACTGTGTCACCATCATTCACAACAGTTTTTGGAAAGCTGAATTTAATTTTAAAGGCAAGACCCTAGCTCTACATTCGTTGAATCAAGAAATCAAATAATTAGAATCTGTCAGACAAAGTGAAGTAGGCTATAAAATCTCAAGAAAGAAACGATCCAAAGAAATTCAAGACATTTGAAAGAAAGTTATTTAAATGTATGAGTTATTGAAATCTATGAAATAGTTACAAATCATTTTCCAAGACTCTGTGGCTTCAGCAAACCACTGTCAAAGCCATTATCCACAAATGGATAAAACTGGGAACAGTGTCAAACATTCCCAGCATTTGGTGACCTGCTAAAAACACTCAAGAGTGCGACGATGACTCATCCAGGAGTTTGCAAAACACCCCCCAAAAACAACACGCAAAGAACTCTAGAGCTCGCTGGGCTCAGTTCAGGTCAGTGTTCATGACTCTACCATAAGATAGGCACTGGCCAAAAACGGCATCCATGGGAGAGCTCCCAGGTGAAAACCACTGCTCTCCAAAAAGAACACAAAGGCTCATCTCACATTTGCCAGAAGACATTTAGATGATCCTCAAGAGTTTTGGAAAAACATTCTGTTGACTGATGAATCAAAAATTGAACTTTTTGGAAGATGTAGCCCATTACATCCAGGGTAAAAATGGCACAGCATTTGAATAAAAGAACATAATACCAAAAATGAAGCATTGTGGTGGCAGTGTGATGTCTGTGGCTGCTTTTCTACCTCAGGACTAGGACAACTTGTTCTGATTGATGCAACAATGAATTCTTCAGTCTACCAGAAAATTCTGAAACTTCCCTCAAACTCAAGCACCCTTGGATCAGGACAATGATCAGAAAAACACCAGCAAGTCCACTTTTGGATGGCTAAAAAAAAAAAAAAACTAAATTCAGGGTTTGGAGTGGCCAAGTCAAAGTCTGGATTTGAATCCGACTGATATGCTGTGTTGTGACCTTAAACTGGCAGTCCATGCAAAGAAACCCCTTGAATATGGCAAGGTTGAAGCAATTCTGCCAAGAAGAGTGGGCCAAAATTCCTCCACAGCGATGTAAAAGACTCATCACCAATTATCGCAAATGCTTGATTTCAGTTATTGCTGCCAAGGTTGTCCCAACCCATTATTACTTTTGCACAGACTGTCAGAAAGTTTTGGAGTTTTCAAGGTCATGGTCATCTTTATTGTCAAATATGCTCGATGTACAACATACAGCTCAGATGAAATGTCTTTCCTCTCAATCCTCAGTGCAAACATGCAGTGCATTAAAAACACACAGGTGAAAATAAGGCAGTGAAAACTTTTTTGGTTCCTTTGTGAATTGTCATTTGAAAATTGCATTTTGTATTTCTTTGGCTTGTCTCTGTGTGATATTAAAATTGGTTTGATGAACTGAAATCCTTGTGTGCGATAAATATGCAAAGAACACAGCATTCAGGAACGGGGCAAATATTTTTTTCATGGTGGCGTATGTGGAAAGACTTTACCGAGCACAAAATAATTTTCCTGTGGGCTTTTTTCCATACTCAAGCTAGAAAATGCATAAACCCAGCCGCTGGGGGGCAGTGCCCTCCCCTGGGGGTGCACTGTTCCCCAGTGCCGGTCCCAAGCCCGGAGAAATGGGGAGGGTTGCGTCAGGAATGGCATCCGGCGTAAAACTTTTGCCAAGACGACCATGCGAGTTGGTAGGACGGTTTACAGGGGCGGATGGAAATTACTGACTCGCTGTGGCGAGCCCTGAATAGGGACGTGCCGTAAGGAGAAGAAGAAGAAGAAGAAGAAGCTAGAAAATGCATAGCATTAATAAAACAAGAGAAATATGTCAACTGGACAAAAAAAAAAATCTCTCATAAAATTTACTCCTCCCAGCTACTCAGTGTGACTGACCCACTCTGAGCTATTTGATAAACAAAATCAAGCATATTCTACTTAATTTATCTCTTCTTTTATTGATAATTTGACCTGTGATTTTAATGTTTGTTCTTGCTTGTAAAGTGTCCTTGAGCGCTGTGAAAGGCGCTTACAAATAAAATGTATTATTATTTTTATTATTATTATTATTATTAAGTGTCTGCTGGAATTCTGAACAGCTTTTTTTAATTTTTTTTTTTTTTTTTATCGCTGTCTGCACCTGGTGTAGCGTTCCAGCAGCACCGGTATTTACGCGACTCGCCAGGTTTTTCTTTTTTTTTTTTTTTTTTTTGGTGCCGATTGTTTTCCTCGATCCACCACATTGAAGCTCAGTAAAATTCGAGTACAATTTATTCTCAAAAGACGAGATTAGGTCAATCAAATCACTACAGGGGCAAATTCCTTACTTCCCTCATCTCTGCAGGAAATAAGATTGTTGCTAACACAAGATTATTGGTAAAATGAGGAGCACAGTGGTGTTGGTGCTATTTATTTTATTTTTTAGGAGTTGCTAGCATGCTAGCTGGCAACACTGAAGACCTGAACACAAGTTGTTGCTCTATAATTGGCTTGCACTGCTGACACAGCACATCATAATAAAAGCAGTGCATACCTGACAATTTAGTTTGACTTGCGAAAGTCAGAGACTGGGGACAGGCGGGATGTAACCCATAAGCCCTACTTGGCCTCGATGTGCTGTGAATGTTTTCATACATCCATGAGGTCAGTGTAAAATGAGTACCAAACAACATCCTCTGGTTCTCATCAGAGAACCACACCAAATCATTTCCCAGCCTACTGCCCGAAATCATGATTTCAAACAGCAGTAACACACAATCAGAAAAGTGACACAGTTGCAAGATGACATTTTGAATTATCCAGCTTTATTTTGACAAAAGTTCAACATGTCCCAAGTTTGGCTGCTTGCATGGAAATGAGGTAATGCTTTCATGATCGTGCCAGTCATTGCCGTTGTGCATGAATACCGTATTTTCCGCACTGTAAAGCGCTATCCAAAGTATAAGGCACATCTTCAATGAATGGCATATTTTTAAAATCTATTTTCATATATAGGGCGCACCGCATTATAAGGCGCATAAAATAGAAGCTACAATAGTGGCTGAGGTTGCATTATGCATCCACAAGATGGAGCTACACTAAGGGGAATACATTACAATATAGCTTTTGTTCATATAGCGATTTCACAACCGCTGCAGCTGTAACAAATACAGAGCATTTAAAATGCAACATCGGCTTTTGGGAAAATTGAATGCTTATTGGCGCTCCTTATAATGCGGAAAATACAGTACATTAAATTAAAAGTAGAACTGGACTTGTTTAAAGAAATCGATGCGGTAAATGTTGACATTATTTGGAAGTCAAACATTCGCTGGTCTCCCATGACAACATTAGCTGCTGCTACAAATGTGAACCTACTGACCGTCCCTGTTGAGCAACATGCGCATACATGTTCTGTTTGATTACGTGCTGGAGGGTTACATTACGGTGTGTTTTGAGTTTAATTGGTTGCTATGTCTAGTCATGTACATAATTTGTGAAGTGATGTTAGAGGCGAGGACCTCCAGGTTAAGAGGCTGCTGGATTACTGAGATAAACTAGCATAAAAACAACCACGAGAGTGTTAAGTTATGATCCATTTAGTCTACTCATCCCTTATTTTTATGAACTTTGACAACAATTTCAACTTTTCGGCTTCTGGCAAATTAAAATACAGACCTTAACCCTGGAGAACCCAAGAACCCTTTTCTTCTTTGGAAAATGATGAATATACATTAAATGACTGATATATTTTCACTGAACACCAAAATATATGTTTTGTCAAATATTTAATGCGTTAATCCTAATTTAGGATTTGGGCCAAATTTGACCCTTTGGGATTTAAGGGTAGCATTTGAGTAGCAGAATTTATAGGGGCCCAATTAGACCCCGTGGGTTCTCCAGGGTTAAGGAAGGTATGTTTGGAAATCTCTCAAAATCAACAATTTTGACCAAATTATGTACTAAAACTGATATGCTCAATTTGGTGAAGAAAAAAAAATCTTTGCATTTAAAAGGGGTGTCAATTTTCCCTATCCCCCACAATTAGCGGGCGTCAGTGGCACAATCAGCGTGTGTCCGTGGCAGTCTTAAAAGTTTCATGATTTAGTGGTTTTTTTTCCCCCCCTTCTACAGCCAACAGCACCATGGACCCTTTGAAGTGGAACTTTGTTGGGAAGAACCTCTTCGCTATGGCGGTACAGGGTGTATCTTTCTTTATTATCACCTTAATACTGCAGTACACCTTTTTCAATGGTCACTGGAGTTTTCAAGACACTTGTCGTGGTCTGTCGTGCATCAGGTATGCTCTGTTTTCAGAGATCAATGTATCTGCTGTGTTCACTCATTTTTGATAAAATTACAAAAATTGAATTCAGGACCCTATTGTTTTTTGTAGAAATGATTCTTCTCATTATTATTCTGGACTTGTACATTTGACTGACAGCGATGATGAATATTGAGAGGCACATGTCTCACCCTCGGGTGTACAAAAAAAGACTGGTATCCATACTAACAAATACAGGAAGTGAGATATGAGGATTTAAGTGTCCAATTTCTGCCCGTTTACAATGGTGTTGTTGTTGCCCCCCCTCATCCAAGACGGTTAAACTGACTGACTTCAACATTGGGCTGTACCATCTCAACACCAGGGACAAAAACAGGGAAAAATATTTTCAGTTTTTGACATATGACACAAATTGGGGCAAGGGCAGCATCAAAATTTGTGTTTCATCATTTTTTCCGAATGACACATTTTCTCCCACAAACGTAAAACAA